GTTGTCGATATGAAAATTCTGGACATACAGGGAAGCCCACAACAGTTGTATGAGGGGTTGCAGCGTCTATAAAGCGGGGAATAAAAAATCGCGTGACTCATGTAACTTTATGACATCTTAAACAGAAGTGCAGCAACGGATCCGGGCGTCATGAAACAGAAAGTAGCATAAGGGATTTCAACTCTTGGGGCGCCAGTGAATCTTATTGTTATATGGTTATATATAAGGGGGAACCGCTACCACCCCACGAATTTGATTCTAAAGTTGCTGCCTCAGAAAGCATCAGTGTGCTGCCCCATCTGCGATCTTTCGTCAGTCCAGTTTTTGACTCACGACTAGTGACTTGCTCCCCCTAGTCCACTGCACGCCCCTCGTTCACCGATTCTCCTGCATGCGGTGTCTCAAGCTAAAACCAGCTGTTCTCCATCCGTCTGCACTTTAGCCTTTCGCGACAGAAACCATGGAGAAAAGTCCAAGTTGTCACATGACCCGCATGCTTAAGCCTTTGCAGCACGGAAAGTGCCCCATCCGGACCTTCCCCACCCCCACCGTCCCACGTTGAACTGCCTCTATTCCCTCCTGGCTCCCATAGCTTCCATTTGGCACCATTAGAAGATGAAGCAGGTGACTTACACTAGTCATCTGCACTCTAGCCTTTTCGAAGGAGAACATAGAGAAGAGTTTGAGAGGTCATGTAATCGTGAACGTATGCATCTAGACGGGGTTCAATTAAGGCATGCCCCAGGATCACATTGGTGTGGCTCTTGCACACGAATGCGAATGTATTGGTGCGAAATGGGCCGGCAGTAAAGAAAAAAGGAAAAGAATCCGTCGAAAACGCTTAGGTTAAGGGCTCACTCACCTTCCTAATCGGCTGTGCTAAGGGAATGAGAGACTAAGCGCGGAGAGGAGAGTATGAGGCGAGAGAGCGCTACAGATGAGAGAGCGCCAGACAACAGCCTGATAAGAGAAAAAAATCTGCAGCTTCAGCAGCTTACTTTGCAAGGCCCAAGCGCTCTTGTCGGTTGGTTTCCGTGCACGGGAACGCCACATTTGTGATTGTCCTCTAGGGGTCTATACTACAGACCGAAGGGAAGCGTTCACACGACCTCTGCCTGGGTTGTGCCTTTAAGTGTTGAGCTAGTCCCAGCGAGCTGAGAGAGGGGGGATTGCATCAAGTGAAATATGAATTGTGTTGGGGTGAGGGGGCAGAGAAATTTATAGGAGGCAGGAGATCTGACGAAATTAAGGAGATGTTTGAATTCTCGCCGTTACACTAACCTTAAGCTCTATATTTGATCTCCAATTGTGACGAATCCATTGTCCCATCAGCCTTTGGAAGCGGTCTTATTAGTGCTAGGTCCCTGATCCTAGCAAATTTGTTTCTGCAAATGTTCTAGTGGTGCACTGAGCCAACAGCGCTGTGAAAATGTGGTAGAATCTATTATTTACCCACCTGTACGAACTACACAGTGGTAAGCAAATATCCGAAGGTTATCATTTTGTTTATCATAGGTGCTGCATGCTTCACGACAAGTGCTACGATGCGGCAGTTGATAAGAAACTGTGTCACGATGTGGCATGGGAGTACATCGACAACTACAAATGGAAATGCACCAACAGCACAGCTACCTGCCTAGGTTAGTTCGACAATATGGTCAGTATGCCCCTCCCAACTGAATAGCGTTCTTTCAGACACTCATCCATGCGAAAAAGCGTTGTGTGAATGTGATATGGCTGTGGTGAAGTGCTGGTCGCAATTCCCAAAACCTACGCAAAGGCAGAGATGCAACCGTTCAAGACAGCCTCCAAAATCGGATTATTTCCAGCACTGAACGAAACATTTCCCGGAAATCTTGACGACCCATCTGAATTTTTTGACTTTACATATGTTTGAATCTCTCATTGTGCCAGATCTGAAACCTGGTACAAGCGGTGCTTTGTACAAAATTCTTTCATGCGAATATTATACACTTGAAACGTTTTCGTAATGAATTTGAGCTTTGGTCCCATAGAATTGCATTTCTCAAGAAAAGCACCGGATTTCTAAGAAAGCTAT